CCCTTGTCGCAGGGGTCGATACCGTCGAAAACCAAGCACACGACAATCTTCTGCCAGGCCGGACCGCCCTTATTCCAGAACTCGGACTTCTTCAGGTTGACAATGTCGCGGATGTTCTGCATGACACCGTGCAGAGTACGGGCGGTGAGAACCTTGTCTTCGTTGTAGTAGGTAATGGCAATGAGCAGCTCGGTGTGGCGGTTGTACATGGCCGGACGCAGATTGTAACCGTTCTTGAGGGTGAAGTCGTTGGGGTCGCATGTCGCAGCAGTGTCTAGCGGCTGTCAGACCTGAAGGGGAAATACAGAACGTGGGACTTACAGCGCATGTGGGTGAACTCCTCGCTACCGCTCTCGAGGTCATTGCGGTACTTGGCCTGGATGGCGTTCTGGATGGCAGAGGGGACGGGGTAGTCGGCACTCAGAACGGAACCCTGGACGAGCTTGACCTTACGGGTCATACCACGCTTGAGGCCACCGGCGGCACCTCCGCCGGGCTGCTGTCGCTGCCTCCATGCTTCGGTCGAGCTGGTCTCGCTCCTCTGGTATGGTGATGGGGCCCGCTGGGGAGCACCGAAGTCGCCCTGCGCGTCGTAGCCACCTGACGCTGAGTACGAAGTGCCAGCGTGGGCCTCGCCGGGGTATTGTGTTGGCCTGTCGGTCGCGTACGACTCGGTCAAGCTGTAGGTGGAGTGCGGGCGGACCTCAGGGTTGCCGTAGAAAGGGTCCGGGTGAGCGCCGGTAGGGTTCTCGTGCAGCAACGAGCGGCCTACTTCCTCCTCATCGTGGGTGCGGTCGTACTGCGGACGCTGTCAGTATGTCGTGCCTTCCTCCATAGCATCAGGGGCGCCTACGCCGGTGTTCGGGTCTCCAAGGTTATAACCTTGGTTATTGTTGTACGCCATGACGTGCTGCAGTTCACGGGCCGGCGCTGCAGATGGCGGTGTTGAAGGGAAAAAGGAATAGGCGGTAGGGGTATAAACGGTTGAGATGTCAGAAAGGCGGCAGCGCACAACTCGGGGTGTCGCTTGATAAAGGTGGATGGAATGTCTGGGGCGCTTCAGGGCTGAGAAAGCTGAAGGGACGCGCGCTATACCCCTTGTGGTGGGATGGGGGAAGGTGCGCTAGGAAAACCGCCGTCTCTGAAACACGGCTTAGCCAGCTTCTATTCGTCGTCGCCGTGTAAGCTGCGCGTTTCGGATGCAGCTGGGCACTCCTTTAACAAGAATGCATTCGTGGAGACGCTGCAACAACGGGCGATCGCTCCTACTTGAATTCGACGGCAACCGCAAAACCTGCTGGCGGTGAAGCACACGACCGAAGCACATGAAGTCTCCGTCGTCTGTCAGTGTGGCGCTAGCCGGCCACGACCTGCTAAAATTAGACAGGCCCTGGCCGCTTGCTTGCTCAGCCTCACCAAAGTCTACCAACATCGCTATTGCCGGCATACTATGATACTATCATGTAGACGGCCTGACTCGCCCTGCGCAGACTACTCCTACGACGTGCATACAACGCCCGTTGCCGTCGAGTGGCTGAAATGCTCAAAATCCCCTTCTGCACGGCTGCGCGTCTCTGTCTCAAGCTAGGGGTTGCACGGCCGACGTCAGCCAGCTTTCAAGGTTGCTCCGCAGGCGGATCCACTCAGAGAGATCTCCTAGTTCTCTGCAAAGGGTTACATGCATTGCGACTGTAACCCAGCCTACCAACCTGTATACGAACTCGTAGTCGGAGCGATTGATTTCTAAATAGGGCCGTTCCCATGCCACTACTACAAACCTCGCCACGTCGTTTTTGCCTGCCGTTTTGCCAGCGTTATTGCAGTGCTGCGTTTGGCTGCCGGGTTCGCGTGATGGCGGTGCGGTGACAGGGTCCAGGCCTGTGGTGAGTCTCCTATCCGTCGCGGTGGGCCGCCGTTAGAAAGTTGTTCCTGGACCCAGGACCCTTCATCTCTCCGGGTCTCACATCTCAACCGCCACATACTCGATCTCGCTGACAGCTTGGCATCGGCGTCGGTACCACATGTGTTCTGAGACGACGTCGAGAGTCAGATCTTCCACCACGATCCTTGGTTGGATATGAGCCTGCGTTATTCTATTCCTTGAATTTATGCACAACAAGATGCATAGAACAGGTTGGCCTATGCTGAGCAACAGTCTGCGCAGCTCCCCCGACCCATCACATCACGTGCTACAGCCATCTCTTACATCCATGATACCACCAGGGCTGCGAAGTTCCTTCCAACTCGGGCAGCGACATAGAAACGTCACCTCAAATCGCTTCTTTGGCAGCGAAGATGGCGAACGCTCCTGCCTTTTTGCATCTTATCGCGCGGGGAGGAGCAGGCCGCACCTTCCGTCACCAGCGCCTCAACAAAACGAAAACTTGTATTCTTCATGTGCATCCACACCACTCGTGTAGTCTTCCTCATGCTCGAAAAACAACTCCTTATTGCTTAACCCTCTTGGCTGGCGTCATACCCGCTGCTACTGCCCCGCATCGGAATACTAGTCGCAATAGTTATAACTACAACAATTGTACATCTTGTTCGCGAATCGCCTACGAAGCTCTACACAGTTCCTCTTCGACCCGCATATCCACTAAGCGGTACGAGCCGCTATGGCTTCAGCCGCACCATTAGTGGATCTGCCCAAGTCCAAGTCTGGTGCTTCACCACCATCCACGGCAACCACATCTCCAATAGCTGAAGGTCACGACAATACAACTCAATGGCAAACACCTGAGAACCCGAACTTTGTGCACCCTGATCACACAACACCGTCACCAAGCTATCCTAGCGCGGAGAACCTCATCATCGTATGCTGCCACGCCATCTTCCTTCCGAATGCAGATGAGCCCAATTTCCCACTGTGTAGCCCTCACTACGAGCCGCATTGGTTGCTAGCGCCTTTTCAAAAGTCAGACGAAGCGACAGGCAAGCCAGGCGAGCATGAGACGTTCTTGGCCCATATCAAAGCTGGCATTGATGCCTTGACTGTCGGAACAGACGCAGAGCATCCTCCTTCGAGCATTCTTGTGCTCAGTGGTGGTGCTACTAAACGAGCGGAGTCTCTGAAGACTGAGGCACGCTCATACTACCATGCAGCGCTCGCAGAAGAGTTAGCAGAAGGTCACAGGGGTGGAGGACGAACCCATAGGTGAGCACCCAGTATACCTATCGCAACTCAAAAACTCGTCGTTTGAGGACGCCGGTGAATGGACCAAAAGCAAATAACAAGGCTCACTTCAAGACCATTTACTGACCAAATCTGCAGACTATACAACAAGGGATATATATTACTAGAGGAACAAGCGACAGATTCATTCCAGAATCTGTTATTCAGCATCCTTCTTTTTAGGAAGGCTACTGGCAACTATCCGAAACAGATTCGGGTAATCACGCATGCTTTCAAGTCGAAACGGTTCCTCGAACTGCATGCTCCAACTATTCGATGGCCGAAAGAGCGTATCCTGGTGCAGGGCATAGATCCGCCGATGGCGAATGACGCGTTACAGAGCACGCTTCGTGGGGAAGAAGAGAACGGATATGCGGCGTGGGAGAATGACCCTATGGGTACCGGAGATCTTTTGGGTGGGAAGAGACAGCTACGCGGATGGGACGCCAGCAAGGCAGCCAAGCACTTCAAAGACTTGGAGGATAGTGTCAAGGAGTTGTTTCAAGGCACAGTATCCGACGAGCTGCCATGGATAAGCTAGACCAAGAATTGCTAGGACTTGTCTAGTCTTTGAACTCCTACCTAGCCTATCGAAGCGTTTTATTTGGTCGCCCACAGAGCACGACATCTTCTCCGAGCGGAATCCATTTCGTTTCTTTCAATCTTGTGATGGGCAATCGTTCCGAGCCGCCATCCGGACACACCTGTACACCGCCTCTTCCCAGCCATGTAGGCGCAATTGTGACAATGACCGAGTCGACTAGAGAATAGGCAGGACCAGGCCCCAGTATGTCATTGATGACAAAACCACCCCCCTCAATCATCACGCTCCTTATACCTCGGTGCGCCAAAGCATCGAGGATAATATGCCACGACGAACCGGATGCAGCAATGTCTTCAGGAGAAAGTCCCAGAACCAAGAATTGGCCACCTACGCTTTCAAGTATCCTTCGTTGAGTATTGGACGGCACCACAGAGGTCACGACGTAAGGCGCTTTTCCCTTTCCCTCCTTGGCTAATCTCATCACTTTGCTTGCATCGCTGAATTGCCAGCGCCCATGAGGATCAACGACAACTGGTCTTGGTTGCCATTTGAGGTCTGATCCACCATAGCCACCCACGCCCTCGATCCGGCAGTTTAGTGATGGATTGTCGGCGATAGCTGTTCCCGCTCCGATCAGAATAGCATCGTGTCTTGATCTCAGGAAATGGGTCATAGCCTTGGATTGCGGGCCAGATAACGCTGTCTGCACGCCGGGCGCGATGGCTAACTGGCTGTCGAGAGAAGTAGCGAAGGTTAATGTGACGAAAGGCTTAGAAACGTGTTGGTGAGCTCGGGGCGATGTAGACGAGTCATGAGGTAGGTAGCCTTCTATGTGCTGGCTATCCGAAGCTGGAAATTGTAACGCGTCTCGTATCGGAGCTGTCATGGCTGCTGTAACTATGTTTCGACTGCACGTGCGAGTATCGTGAGTCTGGAGATGGAGATGGGAGGCTGAGAACCATGGGTGACTAAGCCGTAAAGTGGGCATCACCCCACGTTGCAGCACGGACGCCCGAGGATCGTGGCAGCCTGCCCAACTTATCTCCCAAGGTTCACTCTCACGTATAATATCTCTAGCCCTTCTTTCGTTTGGCGTTCGTACTTTCGCAGGCCCTCGCACTCGCCGCCTTCTCTACTAGCCTCTCCCTATCACCCAACCGCCACCTAGTCCCCTACCTCTCGCCGTTTGCCCCGCGACCCTCACGCGCGCGCATTCCAGCACACCGACGCGATTATATCTACACAGGCAATAGCCCAGACGCCGCATACAATACCGCCAAGATGATGAAAATATGGTCTATGGTAGGTCCTTGGAAGTCTAGTGTCGAGTGGTAATGCAAGACGGCTAACATTCTTGTAGAAGAAACAGCAGCAGCAGGATGAGGCTGCACAAGCTGCCTCGAGCAAGAAGAAGAAGGTCACCCCAGCTCAGCTGCGAACACAAAAAGGTACAGTCATCTCTCGACTACATATCATATCTCTCGCAAAGTTAACGCGACATAGATCTTGAAGAGTTATCTCTCGGCACAACGATGAAGACGCACTTCCCCAACCCCGACGATATCCTAAACTTCGAGCTCACGATCGACCCTGACGAGGGAATGTACAAGGGCGGACGCTTCAGATTCGACTTTAAGATCAACCAGAACTTCCCCCACGACCCGCCAAAAGTCAAGTGCACACAGAAGATCTATCACCCCAACATCGACCTTGAGGGAAACGTCTGCTTGAACATTCTACGAGAGGACTGGAAACCAGTATTGAACTTGAATGCGGTTGTTGTTGGTCTACAGGTACGTTACAGGGTTGCAAGATGTGGAATGGCATGCTGACAGATCACAGTTTCTCTTCCTCGAGCCGAACGCGTCGGACCCGCTGAACAAAGAGGCTGCCGAAGACCTCAAGCAGAACCGAGAGGGCTTCAAGCGCAACGTGCGCGCATCGCTCGGCGGCGGCACAGTCAAGGGACAGAACTTCGATCGCGTGCTCAAATGAGCTTCATCGCATAGGATCAGAACAACACAAGCTTTCACGCAGCAGTCCTTCAAAATGCCCCTCCACGGACGGATGCATCACAACGACATGAGACCGAGCCACGGGCTCACTACAGGACAGGGTTGATGCATGGGAGAAGGCTGGAGGTGAACATGTCAATACATTAGCGACTGCATGTATGGTCTGGCGCATCGTGTAGAGGGTGCATGGGTATCTTACGGGCGCAAGATAGTCTTCCAAGATCTCATACAATATGACTGCACATTTGCGCACAAAAATGGTTTTACCCGTTCGTGATGCTTTACTGTGACTGCGATGTTTGCTCGAAGATTGCGTCACCGCCATGCTGAATCTGTGTCCGTCTACCCAGGCTGTGAGAGCTACACGCAAACCGTACTGCGCAACGTTACCTCGTAGTAAATAGGCCCGCTTAGACTACGGTCAATCTCACCAAGTCATCAGCCGCCACGCACTATCCACTATGACTGGGTCCAGCGATGCCTCATATCATCAGAACCGCTCTCGGAGACACGCATTCCTCCCCGACGACCCTCCGGCCCCCCTGCTAGCACTTTGATAGCGTACGGTGATTGGTCGAGGACGCGAACGGTCGGTCTGGGGCAGCGATAATCGGCCTGGTCCAAGCTCCCCAACTCGAAATTCTGGGTGGGTTGACGATCGAGCCCAGCGTGTTTAAAAGCCCATATCCCCGCCAAACAATTCTGACCCCAAGATACCCCTTTCACACACATTCACAATGGCTTCAAGACCTGTTACCCGCGCTCTGCGCCAAACCGCCCGCCAATTGGCTTCCACTCCCGCTCAGAAGCGCACTTTTGTGTCTGCTCTGAGTGCTGGTGCTAAGAAGGCTGCTCCCCGCGCGGCTGTCACAAGCCAGTTCCAGCAGACCCGTGGTGTCAAGACCATTGACTTTGCCGGAACCAAGGAGACTGTCTACGGTGAGTTTGACCATTATCGATGCATCAGGATCAAAGCTGACAACAAACAGAGCGTGATGACTGGCCAAAGGAGAAGCTTCTTGAGTACTTCAAGAACGACACCATGGCCATGATTGGCTACGGATCCCAGGGTCACGGCCAGGGTCTCAACATGCGCGACAACGGCCTCAACGTCATTGTCGGTGTACGGAAGAACGGTGCTTCGTGGAAGGAAGCCGAGGCCGATGGCTGGGTTCCCGGAAAGAACCTGTTCGACATCGACGAGGCTATTGGCAAGGCCACCATTGTCATGAACCTCCTCTCAGATGCCGCTCAGTCTGAGACCTGGCCCGCCATCAAGCCCCAGCTCAAGGGCAAGGTAAGCAGTACTCATCAATTCGACGAGAGTTGGAACTAACAAGACCAGACTCTCTACTTCTCCCACGGCTTCTCCCCCGTCTTCAAGGACCTCACCAAGGTCGAAGTCCCCACCGACATCGACGTCATCCTCGTTGCCCCCAAGGGCTCCGGCCGCACTGTCCGCACCCTCTTCCGCGAGGGCCGTGGTATCAACTCGTCCATCGCCGTCTACCAAGACGTCACCGGCAAGGCCAAGGAGAAGGCCGTCGCCCTCGGTGTTGCCGTCGGTTCCGGATACATGTACGAGACCACCTTCGAGAAGGAGGTCTACTCCGACCTGTACGGCGAGCGTGGTTGCCTGATGGGCGGAATCCACGGCATGTTCCTCGCGCAATACGAGGTTCTCCGTGAGCGCGGCCACAGCCCCTCCGAGGCCTTCAACGAGACCGTCGAGGAGGCCACCCAGTCTCTGTACCCCTTGATCGGCGCCAACGGCATGGACTACATGTACGCCGCGTGCTCCACCACCGCCCGCCGCGGTGCCATCGACTGGAGTAAGCGCTTCAAGGCCGCCCTCAAGCCCGTCTTCGACGACCTCTATACCTCCGTCGAGAACGGCAGCGAGACCAAGCGCTCCCTCGAGTACAACAGCCAGCCTGACTACCGCGAGAAGTACAACCAGGAGCTCAAGGAGATTGACGACCTGGAGATCTGGCGCGCCGGAAAGGCTGTCCGCTCCCTCCGCCCTGAGAACGCCAAGTAGATTGTGCGTTCGAGGAGAGGTTGAGCTTGGATAGTATGGAAGGTGAAAATGTGTAGATAATGTCATGTCTTTTGTTACGATTAGGGATGTTATGGCGTCAAGCGCTGGGTTTGTCATGGGCGCTGGTGTAGCTGCATTGGCGGCGGTCAAAAAAGAACATTGGAAGAGAGAAGGAAGGGATAGCGTAAAAGCGAATGAATACCTTTCCATGACAACAATCATCTCACTTGATGCATTCTCCTGTTATGCAAAATTGCCGTGGCCTGGACTTGTTGCAAATCTCGTTGGGCATAGTATCCATCTATGCGTCCAGTTTATCATACATATCCGTCAACTTCCACTTCCCTACCCCAATCTAACTTTCCCTATCTTATCCTATCCTACTTCCCCTACTACACGCTCTCTTACCTACTCCTGTTCGAAACCGGCGGCGCTAACTTCGTAAAAGCCTTGGACCGTGCGTACGTCGTCCAAAGTCTCCCTTCCAAGTCTAAAAGTAGTCCTGGTTTGGGTCTTTGTGCTGAAGATGCAGGGGTGCTGCATTTGGGGGGTGATGTTGGTGTTGATGAAGTTGTGGAAGGTGAGGAGGAAGGTGATCTTGATAAAGTCGTGGATACAGGGGAGCTGCATCTAGGCGACGATATTGATGTTGATGAAGGTGGGGAGGGAGGTGGGGTTGGTAATATAGAGGCTGATGTGGATGTGAATGAAGTTGAAGTTCGATGGGCCATCTTTATCCTTTCGATGTGTTTTGCGGGGTCGTTAAGGGTTGTGTTGAAGTTTGGGGTTTGGTGGGGTTGTGCCGGTGTGTACATGGCCACGGATCGTGCTGATGTGGATGTGGATGAGGTTGAAGTTCGATGGGCCATCTTTATCCTTTCGATGTGTTTTGCGGGGTCGTTAAGGAGTGTGTTGAAGTTTAGGGTTTGGTAGGGTTGCGCCGGTGTGTACATGGCCACGGATCGTGCTGGTATAGGTTTGGGGTGGTAAGCTTTGCGAAGGTGTTCGTCGAGATAGCACTTGATGGGACAGTAGTCGTCCGAACTGTAGATTAGTTGTTGATCTTTACGCAAGACTCAAGTCGTAGGCTATACGAGGGATGAAGAGCACTGAGATCCAAGTTTATCTTTCGATATTTATTAACCCCAATGACTCAGTCACCATATCCAGTGTGAGCTGAATTATGGTCTAATGTAGTGGATCTGGTATTTATTGGTGTAGCGTACCATGGTTCGTTTACAACATCTCTACCTAACCAAACCCAAACGCCCTATCACGACTCTTTGAACCTAGCGTTCATATCCCATTTGAACACAGTTGTTCTCCAGCTTCCCCAGCCGACGTCGAATGTGAACTGGCTGCGTACGTTACGGTAGCCTACTTCCTCTGGTTCTGTGTCGTCTACCATGGGCTCCACAACGGGCTCTACGGTGGGTTGTGCGATGGGCCATTCGACGCTCTCCCAATCCTCGCTGATATTTGTCTCGTCTTCTTTTTCAGCGTCGTAGCTTGGTTTTGGTGGTCTCGCATCAGGCTCTGATCCAGCGCATTAGTCAACGTCAAGTAGTGGATCTGTCAGAGGGAAGGCGTACCATGCTCTTTATTATCTGGACGTGACCTGAGTATGGGCTTACCGCCTATGCTTACACTATATGACCATGAGGATTCGCGATGATATGTGCCGCCTGTCTGTGCCATGTTGCGATAATATGTGTTTCAGAAACAGACTGCCGCTGATGCGGCATAGTAATGATATTGGCAACAAGGCCTCTCAAGGTTGTGGCGTTTCGCAGCAGTGTTGGATTGTCGAGTTCTCTATCTTTCCTATAATTCCGTCTGCTGACAACCATAGTGGTTGCCTGATATGGCTGCGCCACGTTTTAATACTGCAGGATGCTGAAAGAGGGAAGGATCTGTATAGAATACCCGGATGTGACGGCGTCCTGAAGGATGCGGGGGGCTGTAGTCTCCGGTCGAATCACATCAAGGTTCTCAATTTGACTTTGGGCCTGGAACGATGCTGCTGCAAACAAAGTAGGACTCCCGATATTCATCAGAATTGCTGAGTTGGGAGTTGCTGCCAAGTGTGCTTTTTTCTACGTTGTGCTGGAGACCTCGGGAAAGACTGAGAGATTAGGGTGAAGTATCAAAGTTCATTGTTTTTACGAGTAGATTTCCTGGTGCACAGCCCGTCGCGACATTGCATCGTCCTTCAATAGGCTTCTCCTCGTCTTCTGAACCTCTTCTAAATCTCTTCAAGAGGGAAATGAACTCAAGCGGGGAGGGGAGTGACAAGCCTGGAGTTGCAAGACCTAAACCATGCCAAACAATACGTTTATAGGCTAACTCAAACATCGAAATGAGCAAAGCAGAAGGGGTTTGCGAAATTGCAATCGATGAGCCGCGGCACGAGGACAAGATAAGGAAAGTGAACATCTGCGTCGGTCGAAAGTAGAAGCGAGGCCAAGTGGCTGAGACAACAAGCACTGCTTGGCTTCTCCTACCTGACGCAACGACATGTTGCTCCTCGGAACGCCCTCGCATCCAGCGAGACTTCGACATTACCCAACAGCGCCCAGGCACTGTACAATACAGCATACTCACCACCTAGGATAAAGCAGAAACAACAAGGAAGCGGATATCGAACGCTTCGCGCGTTCGCATGCTTTTGACGCACCTGAACACATCCAACGCCCACGCACCAGCAACTCTCCGCACCCCGCGGGCACCTAGCGCCTCCACAAATCGCATGGCGGATGTACCAGATCGTGCATCGATCAGGGAGGCGTCGAATCACTCTCGGGTTGGATGCGAGGCTAAACTCCGATTTACCGATCTGGGGATCTAACATCAACATGACATCACCACTTCAACATTGAACTATCGACGCGTCGCAAACATGAGGCACGTAACAAGTACGTGCGCGCAGCGAAGCGCTCTAGTTGACTGTCACTGGGAACTATGTTATAGTACTGTCCCTCCGTTCGGATCCCCCACAACGCCCGCAACTTTCGCGGATAGTCCCTTGAGACCGTCGCAAACGGCTTCTTTTAGCCATCTTTGTTTACAGCCGATCATTGGATAGCGATTTTCCTCGTAGTAGTTTCACGACGCATACTACTTTTCGTTGGCCTTCCTAGGCTGTGGAAACTTCGCGATGGCTTCCAACGAGGCAGGAACGCTCCAGGATTCTGATCAACAACACACACAAGACGCGTCGCAACAACAATCACATGTTACTTCAGACGCGTCTGCTACCTCCAGTAACACGACTACGCACAACACTTTCATCTCTAATGCCTTACACACCAGTAGCCGGAGCTACTACGGTGCAGAAGGCTCAGGGCTATTCTCAGCTTCAAGCAATTCCACTGCGGTACCATCGCCAGATGTTCGACCTTCCTCGGATGCCGCAATACAACATTCAGCTTCCGAACATGTGTCCAGCGATGAATCTGCAACTCAGACTATTCCAAGCAACGACTACCTGCAGAAGACAACATCAGGAGGCCCAGTCGAGGAGCACGTAGTTCTCCACGATGATTCTTCAGACTCAGAGCATGAAGCTGAGGAGCCATCTGCGAAACGCACCGAAAGCGCTAAGAGGCCCGGCCTCCAGTCGAAGAACTCGAAACCCATGACCGAAGACGACCTGTTCCGCGCGTTGTCCAGGCGAAGAACGAGCCAGGCCAATGGCCTCAGCAAGACAAATACTAGTGCGACAGGACGAAGCCAAGAGGAAGAAGACGAGATAAACAAGCTCATGGGAAAGATGTTCGGACACACCAGGCAGGAAGCATCAGAAGAGGAGAAGACGAGACATCAAGGTGTAATCTTCAAGCACTTGACCGTTAAGGGCATGGGTATTGGAGCGGCATTGCAGCCGAGTGTTGGAAGTCTTTTCCTAGACCCCGTGCGATTCTTCAAGAACCTACTCACCAAGGGGCCACGCAAGGCTGGCGGCAAGCCCCCGATTCGCACCCTTCTCGACGACTTTTCTGGTTGCATAAGACCTGGCGAGATGGTGCTTGTTCTCGGCAGACCTGGAGCAGGTTGCTCAACGTTCCTCAAGATGATCGGCAACCAACGATACGGCTACGAAGAGATCACAGGCGACGTCTCGTATGGCGGTACTGACGCAGACGAGATGGGCAAGAAGTACCGTTCGGAGGTGCTTTACAACCCCGAAGAGGACCTCCACTACGCGACGCTCAAGGTCAAAGACACACTTAGGTTCGCTTTGAAGACAAGGACGCCTGGCAAAGAGTCACGAAAGGAAGGCGAATCCCGCAACGACTATGTCAACGAGTTCCTTCGTGTAGTCACCAAGCTTTTCTGGATTGAGCACACCCTGGGTACAAAGGTTGGCAACGAACTGATTCGTGGTGTGTCTGGTGGTGAGAAGAAGCGTGTTTCGATCGCGGAGGCCATGGTGACCAAGGCATCGGTACAGTCCTGGGACAACTCGACAAAAGGTCTCGATGCGAGTACCGCTCTCGAATACGTTCAGAGTCTGCGATCTCTTACGAACATGGCTCAAATCTCGACTGCTGTAGCCCTTTATCAGGCAGGCGAGTCGTTGTACGATCTTTTCGACAAGGTTCTTTTAATTCACGAAGGCCGCTGCTGCTACTTTGGGCCCACTGAGAAGGCCGCGGAGTATTTCAAGAATCTTGGCTTCGTCAAACCCGAGCGCTGGACCACCAGTGACTTCTTGACGTCCGTAACCGATGATCACGAGCGACAGATCAAGGAAGGCTGGGAAGATCGCATTCCTCGCACTGGCGCGGCTTTTGGAGAAGCATTTGCCAGCAGCGAGCAAGCCAATGACAACCTGGCCGAGATCGATGAGTTCGACAAGGAGACCAAGAAGCAGGCTGAAGAACGTCACCAGGCACGAACTAAAGCTACCAAGAAGAAGAACTTCACCATCTCGTTCCCAGCTCAAGTCGTCGCCTGTACCGATCGCCAATTTCGCGTCATGGTGGGAGACCCGCAATCTCTTATTGGCAAATGGGGTGGCATCTTCTTCCAGGCCCTTATCGTCGGGTCATTATTCTACAACCTTCCAAACACGGCTCAGGGCGTGTTTCCGCGAGGTGGTGTAATCTTCTTTATGCTGCTTTTCAACGCCCTTCTCGCTCTCGCTGAGCTTACGTCCGCTTTCGAGTCCCGACCCATTCTACTGAAGCACAAGACCTTCTCCTTCTATCGACCGGCTGCCTACGCTATTGCGCAGACTCTAATTGACATGCCCCTTGTCCTGGTTCAGGTGTTCATCTTCGACATTGTTGTATACTTCATGGCCAATCTTTCGCGAACAGCATCGCAATTCTTCATCTCACTACTCTTCCTCTGGATCATCACGATGACCATGTATGCCTTCTTCCGAGCTATTGGTGCATTGGTAGGGTCTTTGGACGTTGCAACTCGGATTACTGGCGTGGCCATCCAGGCACTCGTCGTATATACAGGTTATTTGATCCCCCCGGCGAAGATGCATCCCTGGTTTTCGTGGTTACGTTGGATCAACCCCATTCAGTATGGCTTCGAAGGTCTCCTCGCGAACGAGTTCTACAACCTCGAGATCCAGTGTGTACCCCCGTTCATCGCGCCGCAAATTCCGGGTGCCCAGGAGCAGTACCAATCGTGCGCTATTCAAGGCAACAGGCCTGGATCGCTTACGGTCGCCGGTCCGGACTATATCTCTGCAGCGTTTGGCTACAGCAGATCGCATCTTTGGCGCAACTTCGGCTTCATCTGTGCCTTCTTCCTCTTCTTCGTGGCACTAACTGCTTTCGGTATGGAAATACAGAAGCCTAACAAAGGCGGAGGAGCAGTCACTATCTACAAGCGCGGCCAAGTACCCAAGACCGTTGAGAAAGAGATGGAGACCAAGACCCTACCCAAAGATGAGGAAGCTGGCAATGGCGAGCCGATTACCGAGAAACACTCCAGCGACAACGACGACTCTGACAAGACGGCTGAGGGTGTGGCAAAGAACGAGACAATCTTCACATTCCAAGACATTACCTACACCATCCCATACGAGAAGGGCGAGAGAACGTTACTTAAGGGTGTTCAGGGCTTCGTCAGACCCGGCAAGCTTACTGCGCTGATGGGTGCATCGGGTGCCGGTAAGACGACATTGCTAAACACCCTTGCCCAGCGCATCGACTTTGGAGTTGTTCGTGGAGATTTCCTGGTCGACGGAAAGCCACTTCCGCAGTCCTTCCAGCGTTCGACCGGTTTCGCAGAGCAGATGGATGTACACGAATCTACAGCGACAGTACGCGAGGCACTCCAATTCTCAGCGCGGTTGAGGCAACCGAAAGAAGTACCCATTCAAGAGAAGTACGACTACGTTGAGAAGATTATCGATCTTCTTGAAATGCGCGACATTGCTGGTGCAGCTATCGGTACAGCTGGAAATGGACTCAACCAGGAACAGAGGAAGCGTCTTACCATTGGCGTGGAGCTTGCAAGCAAACCTGAACTGCTCATGTTTCTTGATGAACCTACTTCCGGCCTTGACTCTGGTGCTGCCTTTAACATTGTTCGCTTCTTGCGCAAGGTAAGTTCATGAACCTCGACAGTATAAGACGACTCACTAACTCGGCTATAGCTTGCGGACGCCGGTCAAGCCATCCTCTGCACGATCCATCAACCCAGCGCCGTCCTATTCGAGCACTTCGATC